AAAGATGCGAAACAAAAATCCTGGGAAGAATTTGGGTACAGCTTAAGTTCACAAACCAAAGAGAGCTTGTGTTATCGCGAAAATACCAACTGTCTTTCAATTCTGATTGGTCTATCAGCTTCGTGTTTTCAACGACGTAACCATGGATACCGATAAAAATTATTGTAGCTGTATACGTCAAAATGAGTCGTTTCGGTGGTACTCCAAACGAAGGTATAAACCAAAACATTGAAGAAAATATACCGAGTAACACAAGAAAATCTAAATCTTATATGGAGACAATTTATGATGTTCTGTGTGGATCAATAATTTTTAACCTATCACTTTGTTCATGAAATAGTCTAATAAAATACCACTCGTGATTTAATTTAGCTTATAAGTCTGTCTTTTATTTCTAAACTCAACTGAGTTTCTTAAAGAAAACACCACTTCAAGCAACTCAGTTTCGTTTAGAAGTAAATCGACAGACTTATCGCGAAAATTGAATCACTAGTGGTATTACTATTGATAATACAAAAACAAATTTTGTTTTGTTACCAAGTAACAAACTTTATACTTTACGATTTTTTGGCGTCCCAATATCAATTGATCTATTCAGGGTGGACTAAGTACTAGAAACTACACGAAACATAAACCAACACAATAAATTTGGTTTACACAGTTAGCTAATTATAGAAAAAATTACTTGCTGAACTATCAAATTACGTAATGCACAAGGCCGTCCAAAAAATCAGAGGAAAAAGTCATCTAACTGTTTTATTGTGTAAGAATTTAGTTCAAATTTGTTTAATTTGTGCAAACATACATACATAGAATCAATGTAAGGTTAAGGTCAACTTATATAGCGCTTAACAATCAATTAATAAAATTTTCAAGGACAAAAAAAAACAACATTTGTACATGTTTGTTAGTATTGTCCTTATCTATGTTTATAAAAGGTTAGATAACGCGAAGTATGTTGTCTATTTTCCTCCAAAGCTTGTGAATCATCTAAAATACGAAAATCGATTAGATTCTAGAGTTGTTTGTTAGTTTTTGTGGTTTGTGGCTTTGTGAATCATTTCGAAATTCGCAACAATATAGAGAGGGAGAAAGAAAGAGAAGGAATAGATTTCGTCTGACGTCAGTGACGTCACTATGTTGTCTCGTCGGTGTTCACGATTCACCGGATTCTCGACCACTTTATTTTGTAATTTATACCTTGCAGAATTTAGTATTGAGACTTCAACAAATTCACAACTGTTATACTTGATCGTTTTATTGAATTACGTTTAACCGCAAATACATTATTTATCCTATATACAACGATTAATATTTATTACAAAAAATAGACATATTAAATTAAATTTTATCAAATTAGAACTCATGATATGTAGATGACTTATACACTCATTATTAAATACGTCAATAATGAGCAATGCAAACTGATGAGTTGAATTATTATTATCGAACATCTCTCAGAGAGCTTCTAGTTTTGCCCCACCCTCTTTTGCACTATAAATTTAGATTTGTGTAGACTGACTTAAAAACCGCAATAATTAACAAATATTTGAATTGCGGTGCTATTGACGGATCGTAAAAATATCATGGGTTTCGCACTCAATATAATTAGAGGACTCAAAGACCGTCTACTTCGCCTTATAATACAAGGAAAAGTGGATGGACAGGGAAGGATTGGTCGAATGAAAGTTTCATGGCTGCATACTATTAGACAATTGTGTAGTACCACAGTAGAATACCAACGTCTCAATAAGGACACGCTCCTAAAGACAAAGAATGCATAGCTTTATGTTGCAAATAAGTTACATTAGGCCACATTCACACATTCACATGCCATTGTGCTGTACGTTTTATCAATATATGATTTTAAACTTTTAAAAGCAGGATGTAATTTCCTTAGACTCACAGACAATATGTTCGGCCGTTTCGTGTACATTGTCGAAGAGTCTGCATTTTACAGAGATGATAACAGAGTTAGCAGTATCCAATGAAAACACCTGTGATTGCTCTGGAGTTGTTGTTTGAAGTTCTGAGTATTTTTGCGTAGTGAGAAGAAGTTTGTAACGACTAGTAAACGACTACACTATACGGCTTTTTGGTATACCGCAGAATAGCTTTAGTTCGTTTAAAGGAGGAATAACTCATTCTTTAGTAAGACTACCATAAATCCCGGCACCAATAATTCCTTTATGCTGTGGCACCCATAACAAAGTTATTTTCTTGTGCTTCGTCAGTTGCTTAATGGTCAGACCCAAGTGGATGTCATATGGCATTGGAGTATGGATAAAATGAGACATTCTATCCATATATATATATATATATATATATATATATATATATATATATATATATATGTATATATATATATATATATATATATATATATATATATTATATATATATATATATGTGTGTGTGTGTGTGTGTGTGTGTGTGTGTCTAGATTCCAAAACTTGGAATATAGACACAGATAAACTAAAATCTAATACAGAACAACATAAAAGCAAGTTAAAACCCGCGAAAGTATTAAATCTAGATGAACTTACTTGAAATGAAATCAATGAAGTTAACAAAAGAACTATTAAATGCAAGCTCAAAAGTGGCAACCGCTAAGAGCAAACGAAAACCCAAAATAAGTATAGAATCACAAAACATGCTGAAACAAAGAAAAGATCTTCTGAGACAAAACAAAAGAGATACTGCAGAATTTAAGGAACTTAATCTAGTAATAAGAAAACAGATAAAAGAGGACATTAAAAAACATCAAGAAGACCGTATAGAAAAAGTCATAGAGAAAAAACGGAAGTCTCAAATGCACCAAACTGAAACTAGGAAAGAAAAACATAATACCCATTAAAAACAAACAAGGACAACCAGAAAAAAAGTAATTCTGATATAGCAAACTCAATTGAAAAGTTCTACGCCGATCTGCATCGTTCCAGAAACGATCCCCTTAACTCCTCAAAGCAGAACTGATAAAGGCAGATAACAAATGCCAACTCAGAAGTGATGCCCGAAATAAGCCACGAACAAATAGAGAAAGGGCAGTAAAAGAAATAAAAAGGAATAAAGCTTCTGGAAGCGATGGAATCCTAGCAGAAATGCTGAAGGAAGGCGGAGAAGAAGCCATCACATATCTAAAAATACAATTTAATAAATGTCTATTCGAAGGCGCAACATACCCGAACAATGAGATACTGCTAAAACAATACTCATACACAAAAAGGGAGACACCACAGACCTGAAAAATTATCGACCAATTTCACTTCTTTCACAACTTTACAAAACCTTTACAAAGATTATTACAAACAGGTTAACAATTAAATTTGACGGATATCAACCAGTAGAACAAGCCGGATTTAGAAAAGGGTACGACACCTGTAACCATCTATATACTTTGAAAATCCTAATAGAAAAGACTAACGAATACAATCTCTCATTATGTCTGATTTTTATAGATTATGAAAAAGCTTTTGATAGTGTAGAACTGTGGGCAATGGAAGAAGCATTAGTCAACAACCGGTTCGACTCCAGGTACAGAATATTTACGAACAAGCTGAAATGATAGTGACGTTGGGTAATGGAATCGAAACAAGACCAGTAAAAATCAACCGAGGCATAAGACAAGGAGACACAATATCTCCAAAATTATTTACAGCTGCCCTAGAAGATTTCTTATAGTCAATAGACTGGGAAAATAAGGGAATCCCTCTTAACGGAAGATACTTGAACCATCTTAGATACAAAGATGATGTAGTACTAATATCCGACACGTGGAATGCACTGAATACGATGATTTAAGAGCTACACACAGAATCTCTAAAAAAAGGACTGAAAATGAATTTCAGCGAAACTAAACTAATGTCAAACAAAGATTACAAACCTATGATAAACATCCAATGGACAGAGATAGGACACGTAGATGAATATACATATCTGGGTCAAAATGTCAAGGTAAGCAAAGAAAATCAGACTAACGAAATAAGCAGAAGTGTTAAAATGGGATGGGCAGCATTCGAAAGACTCTCATATGTACTTAAAAATAAAAATATACCTCAAAGACTGCGAACCAAAGTGTTTAATTCCTGTATCTTACCTGTACTTACATATGGAGCTCGAACCTGGACATTCACTAAAATAAACATGGAAAAGATCAGAAAAACTCCCTATTACCTCAAATTGAAAAGCATCGGTTCTATTTAAAATTTGGACTCTGGGTCGTAGCTTTCACAACGAATTGTACATTCGTTTATTAGCTTCCTAATAATGAAGCAAGAAACATAGCCTGGGTGAGAAACATAGGTGATACGTTGAGCCAGTCAAGCTCGTAGTATTTCTCTTATAGCCAGCAGGGGTTACGACACGTGTGCAGACCTGTAGATATTATATATATATATATATATATATATATATATATATATATATATATATATTTTTTTTTTTTTTAACCTTTCTCTGTGTCAAAACCGTGTTTATTCCAGTGTGTTAGTCCCGGCACTCATCACGCTTTAATCAAAAGTATGTACACATTGTCAATTGATATACCGATTATGTATGTCTGCTATCTGTCATCCACTACTTTTTCTAGCTTTTTCTACTAGCTTTTTCTAATCATATCTGGTCAGTAGTTTCGACTCATTTAATTTTTCAGTTCAGTTCTTAAAACTGATATTTTTCTGGTTTTTAAATAAACAAAACGGCGCCTTTGTGTCTCAGAAATATCTTGCTTCGTTGGAACAATCATGTCTTCTGTTACGCCGTATTAGACCACATAGTTATCAAATAAATATACAATCCTCGTATGTATATTAGTATTTTACATTAAATTTAAGACTCAGTGAAAAGTAGTCATGGGAAAAATGTATTCAATTGTTTAGAATGAGGGCAACTTTTTATGGAAATATCTATATCCAATAGTTATATACAAAAAATGGTTAATGTTAATTATTCATAAATTATATTTTATGCTATTAATTGTTAATATTTCATTTTTGTTACAGCCTTAAGTACTGCCCAAGTAACAGACCCTTACAACAAATTAGCTGATCATTGGTTCAATAAATGTAACAACGAAACAAAACAAAATCTGGCCTTCGACAAACTTTATTCGAATAGCGTCGAATTCAAGAGGTACCTAAAATACACCTTCAAGTTTATCCCAGCAGAGAAGAAAATATTTTGTGATAGAGAACGTGACATTCTAAAAACCAGGATGAAGGAACTAGCTAAAGACATGAGACCTTGTCTGCCCCAAAAGGAAAAGTTTTTTGAACAATTTATATATGACAGCTTCAAGGAAGTCTTGCACTTTTTGTGTCATAATAACGGAGAACACATCGATGGTAAGTAAAAACATTTTATAGTAGATTAAAATAGTCAATTATTATCGCTTAAGAAGCGAATAAAAGAAGTGGTCACTTTACATGAATTTTTTTGCACACCTTTTTGCAGTTAAGCTCCCGCGTTAATTACATGGGTTAAATATATTCAGTCGCTAAAATAGTGTTTGCCATATACAGTGTGTTTTTTATATAGACCGGACATTATTAGACTTATTGCAGGTTTCAAATGCAGTAGCGAGAATTTCTTCGAAAAATAATGCCTAACCTAACGAAACATGCGACAGAGAAAACTGACGCAAAGCAGTCCCTGTATCTTTGTCTAATGGGCCGGATTTATCGACCACGTGACCATTTCATTAGTAATTTAGGTCACGTGGTCGATAAACCTGGCAAATTAGAAAGAGATGCTGGGACTGCTTTGCGTCAGTTTTTGCTGCCACACAATATACATAGTGTATTAAAAAATAGCCATGAGCCATTTGCTTAAGGTGTTTCTTCGCATCCTTCACACAAGAATGTTCAGAAAGCTTGAAGATCTAAGTGGTGAGACACAATTTGGTTTCAAGAGCGGACTAGGTACACGTGAAGCAGCTTTCTGCTTGAATACGCTTGTACAAAACTGCATGGATCAACGAAAGGATATAGTCATAATATTCCTCGATTATGAAAAAGCGTTTGACACCGTAAAACATGACGCAATGATAAAAATGCTACACAACGCTAACATTGACGAGAAAGATATAAGAGTTATCCAGAATCTCTATTGGAATCAAAAAGCACGAGTGGGACTGAATAAATCAACCAACACAGAAGAACTTAAAATTTTAAGAGGGGTGCGACAGGGGTGTATTTTGTCTCCTATGCTCTTCAATCTCTATGTGGAGAATAATTTTGCAGAGGCATTGGAAGGCTCTTAAGTGTGGAATAAAGGTAAACTGGTTCCCGATAAATAACATTAGTTACGCCGACGACACCGCGATGATAACAGACAACGAACATGATATGCAGTTGATGTTAAATAAAATAAAACCGTAGGAAAAATATATGGATTAAAGAAAAATGCTGGAAAAACTAAATGCATGATAATGCTCCGATAGATCAAGTGAAAACATTTAAATACTTGGGAATGATGATGAATGACCAATGGGATCCTCAACAAGAAATAAAATGCCGTACCGAACAAGCAAGACAAGCTTTTATCAAATTTAAACCCCTACTATGTTACCGCAATCGTTCCTTCAATCTCCGCTACAGGATGGTAAAATGCTATGTATGGTCTATATTGTTATACGGCATGGAAACATGGACCTTAAGAGTACCTTTCATTAATAAGTTGGAGGTCTTCGAAATGTTGGACGTTGCGAAGAATGTTCCGCATACCATGGACAGATAGGGTGAGAAACGAGGAAGTCTTAAGAAAGGCAAATACTGAGAGAAAACTACTCAATTTGATCAAGGTGCGAAAAATTGGATATCTGGGCCATATTCTGAGAGGAAAAAATACGCAATCCATCAACTAGTCATCCAGGGAAAGATTGAAGGCAAGAGAGGAGTAGGTCGCAAACAAATGTCGTGGCTACGGAACATAAAGAACTCGACAGGCATAAATAACACTGGATCTTTTGCACGCCGCAAAAGACAGACGTCTGACCTTAAGATAATTCGCCAACGCACTATAGGTACACTACATTATAAGAAGAAGATTAACTGGTGGGTTTCCAGACTTGGATCTGAAAATGCAAACATATTTGAATACAATTGTCATCCTTCCGTTTTCTTAAGTACTTCCGGTATACGCCTGCGATTTTGTTGGAGAGTACCAACTAAAGTCAGAACAAAGTCTTTGTAGAGATCTTCTGAAACCTCCACAAAAGTGTAATATCTTCCCGTCGTCCAGAGTTTAGAATCGGAAACAGGTATATTTTTTCTATTGCTTGTGGACCCATAGATGCTAGTGTGCTGCCTTCATATTTTCCTCCATAAACCTTCATACACAAATCGGTAACGAGTTGAATAATCTGCAAATATTTGTATAAGAACACCATATTTACCAGGCTTTTCTTTTATGAAAACTTTGAACAGGCATCTGCATCGAATTAAAGATAACGAGTATGTCCGTACAAAAATGTACTGTTCAGCAAATCAAACATTTTACTTAAAGGTGCAAATTTCTTTACCTGTTTCCTCTCAGCTCTTGTGGTTACATCTTAAAATTTTTGTCACTTCTCGGAATCTGTTTCGGCCAACCAGGGCAATACACGATGATCTGTCGAATTTTTTAGACCACAAATCGTAATAATCTAATTTGGTGTTATCGTTAGCTCCGATCAAAATGAAAATTCCTAGTAAAGTCAAAATCTCTGTATCATCTGTTTTTGACACATTTGTACGCTCAGCTTCATCATTGGTATGCCGCACAATATTTTTCAGTATTTTCGGAGTAAATTTGGAATTTTTATGAACAAAGGTATTTAGAAAATCGGATGTAATGCAATATTGTGGATACTTTTTAATCACACTTGTTCTTCTGGGTTTAAAATAGTAAATAACACCATAGTTACAAACTGTGAAAACTAATACATATTTGAAATTAGATTCCTACATACTTTAAACAGTAATAATCTGGTAAGCAAACTTAACCAGAAAAAGAACGAATACAAATACTAATATTAACTCCCATTTTTTTTAACGAATTAAATCCCCAGCTCCCTCCTATAAGTAGATCGACACTGTCAAGAATATTAAAAAAAATAACGAAACTGGTTGATTTAGAGTATCGTTTAATAGACCAAAAACTGCAACTATTTATGACAAATCATTAAATGTCCTAATAAACCTTCAGGAAAATCTCAAAGTGGTAAAACTGGCAAAATTTTTCATCCTTACAAAATTTAAATTAATCAAGGAGTATCCGAAGAAGAATTTGATCAACGATTAGCATTTTGTGAAAATGTAACAGAGAAAATAAGAATGCAAAACAATGTCTTATATTTATTTATATTCATTGATGAAGTCACAGGCTGATTAAATATGAAGATGCATAATGCTCAGATTCTAATCCCTATTGGATAAAGGAAATTCATTAATCTCTTTCCAAACATAAACGTATACTTTGAACACTTCGGTGCACTCCCACATTATCACAGATACGTTAGGCAATATTTAAATACCATTTTCCACCAGAGATGGATTGGTCGAAGAGGTGTGATGAATACTTGATACCACCTGATTTTTTGATCTGGGGTTACCTGAAAAATATTGGTTGTGTTGATAAAATATCTTAACTGAAATAAAATATTGCATTTATCGAGAAATGCAGGGAATTACTGGATTAATCATCAACAAATCTACTCGGAGCATTTATTGTAATGATAAAATTATAATTAAACATTTGCTTAAAAATAACACTTTGAACAAAGTTTAGTCAATTATTTAATTAATTATAATAAGCAATCTACGTTACTATTGAAAAAAATCAACATGGTAGTAATACAGGAAACGATGACGTCATACAAACTTAAAGGATCCTCTAAAAAATGCAGAGCACAATATTATTTCGTGTCCCAAAATTTGATATTTAATTATAAGTTTATTCATTTCAAAGACTTTATGTAAAATTATACGCACAGCTTCTTAAGTTTTAGACTCCCTCCTATTCATTTTTATCTTGTTCAATGCGTAGCAACCATTTATTATCTTATAATAAAATAAAAGTAATTTAATAAAAACTTCACTCGCAAATATTCAGAAGACTTCAACGAAATTGTTAAATCGAAATCTATCATTAACATCCTCTAATCTAAAGTATTGGGGAAAACCAAACGAGTTAGACAAAACGAATGGTTTGACGAGGAGTGCCAAGAAGCAACAGATAACAAATATAGAGCATCATCATCATCAATCAGCCATTCGCGTCCACTGCTGGATATAGGCCTCCCTCAGTTATTTCCAGTGTTCTCTACACTGGGCCGCTTGTAGCCAGTTTCCCGCTACACGTTTTATGTCATCGGCCCATCTAGTCGGTGGTCTTCCTCGGCCCATCTAGTCGGTGGTCTTCCTCGGCTTCTTTTATAGTTTCTGGGCCTCCATTCCATAATACGTCTTGTCCATCGTTCATCTTGTGTTCTGGCTAAGTGCCCTGCCCAGTTCCACTTAAGTGTCGTGGTTCTTTCGATGACGTCTTGAACTCCTGATCTTTGCCTGATTTGTTGATTTGTTATGTGGTCTGGAAGGCTCACGTTCAGCATTGCACGTTGCATGGCTCGTTGTGTAACTCTGAGTTTATTCGCAGATTTTTGCGTGAGTGTTAAAGTCTCTGCTCCATAAGTTTGTACAGGCAAAACACATTGGTTATAAACCTTTCGCTTGAGACACATGGGAATTGAACTTTTTAGAATATGTGTTTTTCATGTGTTTTCATGTGTTATTTCATGTGTTTGATTGTCTCTGCTTATTTTGATTTTGTGTCCCAGATATTTGTAAGTGTCTGTTTGTTGTATGGTATTATTGTCAATAGTTATATTTCCACTCATTACGAGATTTGTTATAAGTTTAGTTTTCTCAAAGTTTATTTTTAATCCTGCTCTTTCAGACAGACTTGCGAATGCATCATAGAAACTGTATCATGTAAGTTATCTGCGTTTAATATAACATCATCTGCAAACCATAGGTGATTTAATCTTTCTCCATCTATATTGATGCCCATATCTTGCCATTGAGTGCTCTTAAATATTGACTCTAGAGCTGCCGTGAACAATTTTGGTGAAATATTGTCTTCTTGCCTGACTCCTCGACCTAAGCTGAATTTTTCTGTGTCTTCGTGTAGTCGTATACTTGATGTAGCGCTCTCGTAGATGTTTTTGATTAGTGTCGTGTACCTGTAATCTATTCGGCTTTGATTTAGGGCTTCCAGCATTGTTTCAAACTCTACAGAATCAAAAGCCTTCTCGTAATCGACAAATAAGAACCAGTGGTATGTTGTACTCGATGCACTTTTCTAT